TTTTTATTTTTTTTTTTTTTGTTTTTTTTTTGAGACAGGGTCTCACTATGTAGTTAAGACTGATCTGGAACTCACCATGTAGCCCATACTGTTCTCGCACTCACAGCATCCTCCTGCCTCAGCCTCCCAAGTGCTGGGATTACAGTGTCTTAAATTTTTTTTAAAAAGAGTTGGGAATATGAAGGCCCTGGGTTGGGTTCAATCCCCAGTACCACACACAGTCATTGTCTGCCTGACTTGAGGTCAGACTCCTGCATGAGACTTGTCAGCAAGGCTCTGCTGTCTCCCCAGGCAGCTGCTGCAGCATGAATGCCCACAGTGCCCCCAGCTGCCACCCTTTGGCCTCTTCGGGGATCTGGAGCAGCACATGAGGAAGCAGCATGAGCTTTTCTGCTGCAAGTTGTGCCTGAAGCACCTCAAGGTACTTCTGCCCTGGGAATGGAGGGACGGCAGAGGGGTGGGCTCTAGGCTTGGACTACTTGAGTGCAGCCACTCATGCCTCTAACCCCACATGCCATGGGCCCCAAAGACTCCCTGGTCACCCCAGAATCTCACTGTGGCAGGGAGGGGCTCCTGGTGGCTGCTTGGGTCTGCCAGACTTCTGAGTCTTGTCCTTGCCATTCCACTGCCAGCTGGTGAGAAGTAGGAGGCCTGGTAGCCCCCGGCCTGTGCCCAGCCCCCCATTCTCTACAGATCTTCACGTATGAACGCAAGTGGTATTCACGAAAGGACCTGGCTCGGCACCGCATGCAGGGAGACCCTGATGACACATCACACCGGGGACATCCACTTTGCAAGTTCTGCGATGAGCGCTACCTGGACAATGATGAACTGCTCAAGCATCTGCGTCGTGACCACTACTTCTGCCACTTCTGTGACTCAGATGGGGCCCAGGACTACTACAGGTGGGTGGGTTGGGGCTGCTTCCTAGGATGCAAGAGGTGACCCTCTCCTAAGATCCCCCAGAAGAAGAGAAGGGAGGTGGCCTCACTGGCAGTCTGGTGGCCAGTGAGGCTCCTGCTAAACCTTGATGTCTCATCCCACCAGTGACTATGCATACTTGCGTGAGCACTTCCGGGAGAAGCACTTCCTGTGTGAGGAGGGCCGCTGCAACACAGAGCAGTTCACCCACGCCTTCCGCACTGAGATTGATCTCAAGGCACACAGGATGGCTTGCCATAGCCGCAGCCGTGCAGAGGCACGTCAGAACCGCCAGATTGACCTGCAGTTTAGCTTCACACCACGGCACTCACGCCGGAGTGAGGGTGAGCCAGGCACCTGAGGGCTGTGGCCTGGCAGGTGTCCCAGGGTAGGCCACGGGGTCCAGGAGGCCTGCGCCTGCTCCTGCTCCTGAGGCCTCAACTGTGGGTCGGGATCCATCTCCTGCAGCTCAGCTGGGGATGAAGGCAGTAGCTGCTGAGCTTCTCTCTCCTCGCCCATGGGGCTGTGCTCTAAGTACTCAAACACAGTGGCAACAACCAGGAGCTCTTCACTCCCCTGTCTTCTGCAGTGTCCTGCATCTGTTGGTCTTGGGTCCCTGGGGCTCTTCCTGCTTCAGGAGGCTGTTACTGAGCACAGCTTTGTGTAGACCCTGCTCATTGCAGTGCTTGCTGTGACTTGGCTCGTACGGACTCTGCAAGGTGTCTGGGCTTGTCCCCAGGCTCATGGCTGGGGGCAGGGGAACCTCTCCCTCAGTATGACCTGGATGGCAGGCCTATCAGTCCTTCTGCCCTGCTAGGGCCCAGAACAGTGACAGGCTGTGTGCTGACCACAGGGGTCATCAGCGGTGAGGACTATGAGGAGGTGGACAGGTACAACCGCCAGGGCCGAGCGGGCCGGGCCAGCGGGCGTGGAGCCCAGCAGAGCCGCCGAGGAAGCTGGAGGTACAAGAGGTGGGAAGATTTTTGTGTCCTCCTGGCACTACTCAGGTGGTGCTAGTGGCTAGCAACTGAACTAAGGACAGACACAAGTCAAGGGACCTCATCCTGAGTCCTGGGGTCCTGAGTGTGGCAACAAGGTCTGCTCAGTGCCCTCTTTGAGCAGGTTCTTCCTACTTCCCTCTAGTGTTAACTAGAAACACAAGTACCGTGGGTTGGAGGAGGGATGGCTAGAAGGGCTCTTATTACCCAGGAGGTCAATACAGTTATGCCAGAAAGGGCTGGCGCAGCAGGCATGTGCCAAGGCTATGTATCTGGGCCTTGCTCCGCCTGAGGCTACCCTCCCAATCCTAGGGAAGAAGAGGACCGAGAAGTAGCAGCTGCCATCCAGGCCTCAGTGGCTGCTCCGCAGCAGGATGAGACTCGTAGGAGCGAGGACCACGAGGAGGGCAGCAAGCCCAAGAAAGAGGAAACAGCTGCCCGGGGGTCTGAGGAGCCCCGTGGTCCTCGGCGCCTGCCCCGTACTCAGGGGGAAGGCCCAGGTGAGATGGGCCTGCTAGCTGGTAACTTGCCCAGGCCCAGGCAGGGTGTGGCCAGCACCTTCCCTGGGAAGTACACCCATACCTTTGCTGATTCCACCAAGGCCACTCTCTGACCTAGGAGTCCTCTCCTGTCTCACAGGCCCCAAGGAAGCCTCAGGAAATGATCCAGTAGGCCAAGAAACCTCCTCAGCCCCGGGCTCAAGCACAGCAGCTGTCCCTCCAAGGTGTGTGAAGGAGTGGCATGAGGGGAGAGCGCCTACAGCGGGCAGGTGGGGGGCACACCAGGTCCTGGTGAGCTGCTGACCAGCTCTCCTCTCCCTGGACCCAGCGCCCTCCTGCCACCCACCCCAAAGCTCAAGGATGAAGACTTCCCCAGCCTCCATGCCTCCGCTTCTTCCTGTTGCCCAGTGACAGCCCCAGGCCCTGTAGGGTTGACGCTGGCGTACCCTGGTCCCGCCAGAGGCAGGAACGCCTTCCAGGAGGAGGACTTCCCTGCCTTGGTGTCCTCAGCATCCAAGCCCAGCACTACCACCCGAAGCCTCATCTCTGCCTGGAACAGCAGCTGTGGCAAAAAGGGGGCCCTACCCACCCCTGGGGCTCAGGCTGCCAGTGGGGGTAGCCAGCCCCCAAAAAAGCCAGGGAAGGGGATCAGGGGCTGCCGGAAGGGTGGCTCAGCCCCCATGGAAGAAGAGGAGGGAGGTGGCCTCATTGTTCAGGAGCTTCGGACCACACCCACCACAGTAGCTGTCTCCACCTTGTTGGGGTCAGCTCCTACCCATACCTCCACCAAGGTCAGCAAGAAGAAGAAGGTGGGCTCTGAGAAGCCTGGTGCCATGCCATCCCCTCCGGTGCCCCCTGAACATACACCAAACCCCCCTGTGGCTGAGCAGGCCCTCGACATCCCTGTGAGCCGAGCTGAGGGTCCAGTACCTGTCGTTGTCAATGGACACACCGAGGGGCCAGCCCTGACACGGAGTGCCCCCAAGGAACCCCCTGGGCTCCCGAGGCCCCTGGGGCCCCTCCCCTGCCCCGCACCCCAGGAAGACTTCCCGGCGCTGGGAGGCCCCTGCCTGCCCCGGATGCCTCCTCCCCCAGGTACGAGTGGTCAGCTCCACTTGGCACAGATATCTGGGAAAGGGCCCAGGGACACAGGCTCATGGCCAGAAGTATGAGGTTCAGATCCAGCTCCCAACTGCAGGTGGGGCCAGTGCACTGCTGACCAGCTGGCTTAGCAGCTTGGACCCATTCTTGATGAAGGCACCATCATCCCTAAGCCCTGTTACCTAATTCTACCCACTTAACCTGGGTTTCTTTCCTCTGAAACGGACCTCAGAACAGTCCCGGGGCTGAGGGTGCATGAGGTCATATAAGTCAGCATTGCCATGTGGTGGGGGCTGGCCCTGGGCCTGCTGTTGGAGGTATGGTCTGCAGACAAGCCTTACCCAGTGGGCTGGACAGTCTGAAAGAAGCTAGCCGGCAGGGGCCATCTTTGGGTCTTGTACTACCCTGCAGGCTTCAACGCTGTGGTGCTCCTGAAGGGTACCCCGCCCCCGCCCCCACCAGGCCTGGTGCCTCCCATCAGCAAGCCGCCCCCTGGCTTCTCCAACCTCCTGCCTGGGCCCCACCCAGCCTGCATCCCCAGCCCTAACACCACCACCGTGAAAACGTAAGTAGGCTGGACTGCCTAGCCTCTTGGCACTGGGACCAGTGGAAGGAATCCCCTGCTGGCACCCCAGAGTTGAAGCTCCCTCCTGTGTCGTGATCCCAGACCCAGGCTGACGCCCTCATCACGGTCCTACTTGGTTCCTGAGAACTTCCGGGAGAGGAACCTCCAGCTCATCCAGTCCATCAAGGACTTCCTGCAGAGCAATGAGGCCCGCTTCAGCAAGTTCAAGAGCCACTCGGGGGAGTTCAGACAGGTAGTGGGGAAGGGGTGCGGGAGGCCAGCCTGTGTTTACCAGGCTCTGGTCTGGGGCCAATGTGACTGGCTGTGTTCTCTGGATGGCAGGGAATGATCTCTGCGGCCCAGTATTACAGGAGCTGCCGGGACCTGCTTGGGGAGAACTTCCAAAGAATCTTCAGAGAGTTGCTAGTGCTGCTGCCAGATACGGCCAAGCAGCAGGAGCTGCTGTCTGCACACACGGACTTCTGCAGCCGTGAAAAGCCTCCTGTTGCCAAGTCCAAGAAGAATAAGAAGAACGCATGGCAAGCCAGCACCCAGCAGATGGGCCTGGACTGTTGTGTGTGCCCTACCTGTCAGCAGGTCCTCGCACATGGTGATGTCAGCAGCCATCAGGCGTTACACGCTGCCCGGGATGATGACTTTCCCTCCCTGCAAGCCATTGCCAGGATTATTACGTAGCTCCTGCCAGAGTGGGCAGGAGCTGTCACATCTGTGCAGCTCCTTTCCCCCTCCTTCCTCCTCGTGGCTGCCAGGCAGCCAGGTAAGGCCCTGGGGAGGGCACTGCTCAGAGCTTGTGGTTGGCCAAGCCTGCTGGGGGTCACCAGCACGGGCTGACAGCACACTGTCTCACAGATGTCTCCTCCCCTGCCCTTTAGTGGGCCAGTCTTGGTTTGTATTTTGTTCTTTTGGAAGGTGCCAAGGGAGGGAAGGGCTGGGATGCTGGGAACTGTACCTGCAGTCACAGCCAGAGGCCACAGTGACCCAGCCTGGGTCTCCGGAGACTGGGGCCTACAGCCCCCAGAACCAAAAGCTGTGAGTCCACTGGTGCTGGGTTAGATGTTGAGTGTGTTGTGTAAGGAGTTGGCTGTTTCATAACTCAAGAATGTTGGGGATTAAAAGCAGACACAAAATTGTGCTACTTGAAGTTGAATCTTTTTTACAAGACAAGCTGAATCTGGGATCTTAAATTGTCTCTGACCTTTTATAAGACAGTTTATCTTCAAATAAATTTATTTTGCAGTACTGCACCTAGCTGGTGTCCTGAGCTTCTGTGCCTTCCAGTGTAACGCAAAGCCGGGGCACACAGATCACACTTATTATATCAGCAGCTCAGGGTCAGCCTTTGAGCACCAGTGTTAAGGAGGCCTGCTGGGAGAACTGGGCAGCTGGCGTTTGCTCAGAGGATGAGGTCTCAGTGCCAGCCTGATGTGGCAAGTCTGGCACTGCCCATGCCTCCCAGGAACAAATTCTTCCATGTTTGCCAGAATAGTTGAATACCCAGGGCAGTGGTGGCAGACTTATGGCATGCATGCTGCAGTGGGCTGTTTGTATCATTGAATGCTCTAAAGGGGTCACCACCACTGACCTAGGGACACTGATCGCCAGTACCATGGCCATAAAACAAAGACCTGAAGTTTACATCCACAGGCCAGTGAAAGAACTATTAAGGACAATCTCAACATGAAGACACATCCAGGAACAGTAGGGGCATAGGTGAAGAAGTACAAAAAATAATTTGTGCCCAGTTACTTGAGAGGCAGCAAATGCTGAAGCTTCCTCATCCTGCTCCAAACACAGATAAACTATAGGGCAAAAAGTCTACTTAGCCACATTCAAATTAGACAAAGGATCCTTAGGTCAGAAGAATCAGGTGAGTTCCTAAAATAACCATGGTGACAAAGGGCCATAGCTATGGCAGAGCCACATGGCTGCACTGGCAGAACTCACCTGAAGCTGAGGACTTGGACAGTGACACTCGTATCCCCTGGGTGGCTGTGCTGGGGCCTGGAAAGAGACAAATTCCCCACACACACACTAGGTGGAGGTCATGAGCCCTCAACCACATGAGCACAGCCTCTCCTAGCGGATGAGGTCCCAGGGCGGGAGTAAAGTAGTCAGAACAAGTTTCATTAAGGAGATGGGTGACTTGTTAAGGAAGGAGCAAGATCTAGAAGGACACTGGGCAACACAGGACTGATCCCCTGCCTGACACAAGCTCGCTTCTTTATCCTCCTCATACCCTGCACACTAGAACCCCTTATTCATTCACAGGAAGGAACTGGGCTGCAGACAAGATAAGAGGCTGGCCTATGGCTTCTTGGTCAAGATACGAAGTGGCAAAGCTAGTCCAGGATAGGTCTTAACTGTGCTTCACTTATCCACAGGGTCGTGAAAGAACCAGTTAGGAATCTTAGAAGTGTAACGAAAATCTCAGTATGCCAGGCATAGTGGTACAGTCCTATATTCCTAGTATTTGGGAGGCCGAGGTGGGAGAATCTCAAGTTTGAGACCACCTGGGCTATAAAGTGAGTTCAAGTCTACCCTGAACTACATATGGAAACCTTTAAAAAAAAAAAATTGGCATGGTGGCGCATGCCTGTAATCCCAGCTTTTAGGAGGCTGAGGCAGGAGAATTGCTGTGTGGATTTGATAGCAGCGTGGGCTACATAGACCCTGTTTTCCCCCACACCAAAAACAAACAAACAAAAAAGTTAAAAAAAATTAGAGTGCCGGGTGTGGTTGCCACTCAGGAGGCTGAGGCAGGATTGCTGTGAGTTTGAGACCAGTCTTGTCTACATAGTGAGTTTCAGGTCAGTTTCAAAAAAAAAAAAAAAGAATGCTAGGACACAAGACAGCTTCAGAGTTCAAAAGGAAATAACTTGGATTTAACACAATATAGAAAACTGAATTTCACAATGCTGCTGAACCTACTGGACATCACAGGAGCACAGGGAACTCCAGAAAAAAAATACTCTTATTTTATTTATTTGTTTACTTATTTATTTTTTGAGACAGGGTCTCACTATGTAGTTGAGACTGACCTGGAACTCACTATGTAGCCCAGGCTGGTCTCAACTCACAGTGATCCTCCTGCCTCAGCCTCCCAAGTGCTGGGATTACAGGCGTGCGCCACAACACCCGGCTTTTTTTTTTTTAAACAGGGTCTCACTACATAGTCCAGTCTGGCCTTGAACTCACAGCTATTCTGCCTCAGCCTTCCACCTGCTGGGATTACAGGCGTGTGCCACCAAACTGAGTACTCAGAAGGATATTCTTAGTGCAGTATTAAAAACCATAGCTATGGGCTGTGAATTTGGCTCAGTGGTTTCACCTGCCTCCCAAGCGCAGGGGCCCAACTTTGATCTCCAGTGCCAAAAAACAAAACAAAACAAAAAACAGCTGCGCCAGGCACGGTGGTGCATCCCTATAATCCCAGCACTCAGGAAGGCAGGAGGATCTGTGTTCAAGGCCAGTCTGAACAACATAGCAAGATCCTCTCAGAAAACAAAAACAAAAATAGATGTGTGTGGTGGCACACACTTGTAATCTAAGCACTTAGCACTCTAGGAGGCTGAAGTAAGATGCTTGTAAATTTGAGCATAATCTGGGCAATTCAGCAAAACCCTGGCTGGAAAAAAAAAGCAGGAGGGTGGCTGGTTGGGTTCAATCCTCAGTACTAAAAAAGGGGGGAGGGGAGTGTCTTCCTGATAAAGACAGGCAGCACTAGGGACCCACAGGGATCTATAACTGAGGGAATGGAAATTTCCTCTCCATTGCAAGAGGTGAGGTCCAAAGAGGGTTCTTTTCCCTCTAGGTCTTCTTGTTCATCCCAAGATTCAGGCAGACCCTTGGGCAGTCACAGCAGGACAGGATAAATAAGGGTCTGAACATAGGACTGGGAAAGGAAGCCCCAGGAAATTAGGAGGTACTGAAGGGATCAAGGAGACAGGAGCTTAGGAAAGTGACTTCATAAAGTTATGAACTCCCAGGTTTCCTGCTGTTACACATGCACAGACCAGCCATCACAGATTTCCCTATCACCCTGTCTCAGCCTGACACTGGGGGTTCACACAGGACAGATCTGGATAGCACAATAACCCTGAAAACAGAACCCTAGTCACCCAATAGAAGGCTGGCAGAACCTGGTCCAAAACTAACCAGGTCAACTACCTGCAAAAACAAAAATACAGCTAGGCATGGTGGTACATGCCTGTAATCCCAGCACTCAGGAGGCAGAGGCAGGAGGATTGCTATGAGTTCAAGGCCAGCCTGGAGTACATAGTTCAAACCTAGCCTGAACTACACAGGGAGTCCCTGTCTCAAAAACGAAACAAAACACAAAAACCTATATTCTCTACCACTGAAACAAGGTGCAGAGTATTATGATCAAAATCCCAAGGCAATCAAAATGAGTTGTCATACAAAGAACCAGGAAGTCTGAATTCTCATGACAAAAGACAGTTGGGTGCCAAAACCAAGAGGACACAGATATTGGAATTACCTCATAGTCTTCAGAGGATTGATTTTCAAAAATGTTTTAGCAAGGGCAAACACTTTTGAAACAAACAAAATCTCAGCAAAGATATAAAAGATATAACAAAATAAAATGGAAATTTTAGCACTGAAAAATACAATACTTGAACGAAATTAACTGGATGGCCTCAAAGAAAAACAAAAGTCAAATGCAGAGGAGTGTAAGAGATCTAGCCATACACTAGAGACCCAAAGAATCCAGCAAATGGTCTGAAACCCACAGTAATGTCCCGCACAAGTCCCAGCTGAAGGCCTAGAGTCCAAGGCAGTGTCCTCCATGAGTCCAGCCAGTAGCCTGGAGCCCACAGCAAGGTCACATGCTTGTGCATTTAAAGGATCTGCACCTAGAAGGCCCAAAGGCCCGTGGGGAAAGCCAGAAAACCTTCACTGATAGGTTGAAGGATCTGTGCCGCAAAGCTGAGGGATCTACACTGGAGCCAGGAAGTGAGACTCACTGTGAGGGTCAGAGCTCGCTGATGAGAACAGCAGCCATTGCCAGGGACAGTGAGGCCTCGAGTTCCTCAGGTGACAAGAACAGCCAAGTTCACCTCAGGAAAACTAACCGCAGCAAGCTTCCCCTGGAGAATCAACAGCCCCCATCCTCCCCTCCAGTTCTCTTGGCAACAGTCCCCAGGTGGGTCTTCCACACCCAGCCACGCTGACTCGGCTCAGCTGGGTGTTTCAAGTTGATCATTAGTTAATCCACCATAACTACATAGCAAAACCGAGAGAGAGTGCCAGGGATTTGGCTCAGTGGCACCGGCACCTGCCTCACCGGCACAAGGTCATGAGTTCGGTACAAAGAAGAGACGAAGGAAAAGTGTATACAGGGCCTCAGTCACTTGGGGACCAACCCAAAACTTCTCAAAGCAATTTTTTCCGGGTTGTTGGAGAGAATAAAATGAGGTACAGAAAAACAAAAAACAAAAAACAAACCAACCCTGAAGGAATAATGTTTGAAAACCTCTCAAATTTGGTGAGAAAGACCCGCCTACAGATTCTGGAAGCTCAGCAGACTGCAAAAAGAGTAAACACAAGTCCACACCCAGACGCATCATAATCAAACTGCGAAAAACTACTTATAACAAATGCACAAGCAGCCAGAGGAAAAGACATTACTTACAGGGGATGGCTGTTGCCACAGAAACGATAGAGGCCAGAAGGAGACAGACAAAAATTTTTTTCAATTCCAGGGATTGAACCCAGGTCCTCTCGTGCCACTGAGCCGCATACCTAGCCTTTTTTTTTTTTTCCTAATTTTTTAAGCAAAAAAAAATTTTTTTTGTTTTTTTCAATTTTTGAAACAAAGTCCTGCGGTGTATGTAGTTCAAGTTGGCCATGAATTCACTATATAGCCCAGGCTGGTCTTGAACTCATGCTCATCATACTCCTGCCTCAGCCTTCTGAGTGCTGGGATTATAGGCATGTGTGCACCACCACACCTGATTGAAATATTCTTTTTATTTTGAAACAGGTTCTCCCTAAGTCACTAAGTTTCCCAGGCTGGGCTTGAACTTGTAATCCTCTGCCTCAGCCTTCCAAGAAGTGGTTGAGCTCAGGAGTTTGAGGCCAGCCTGGGCAACACAGCAAGACCCGCCTCTTTAAACAAATGAACGAACACATGTATTGCTTAATGATGTTATGAAGACAGAAAGGAGATGGTACCACAGGAAACTTGTAC